CGGAGTGGTTTTCTGCCTGCATAAAAATTGTTCATTTCCCTGATCGCTTCTTGAACGTCAGAACAATGGTGCAGAAGTGGTCCGATGTTCGTTCCTTCGCGATGACAATTTTTGCAATTGATGTTGGTGCCTCCAAATAGTCGCCAAATGGCTCCAACTTAGGCCGATGTCAGACTTTGCGAATCGCTAGCGTCTGCGGTCGCGTCGCGGCCAGTGAATCACTCAATTGGCTGGTACCGCAACGCGACCGCGGACGCTAGCGAATCGCGCGATTCGCAAAGTCTGACATCGGCCTCAGACTGTAGGTGTCACCCTCGTAATTTGACGACAATTTGGAGGCACGACCATGAATTGAAAATTAAGTCACCACGAAGGACCGCGTTTTGGTCCACTTCTTCACCTTCGCTAAGGAAAATGTACAATGATTATGTTCCACGCAAGAGCTTGTAGCCTTATCACAACTCTGGAAGCTCCGAAGGACAACCTGCTAGGCTCATGTCAAGCTTTTCCTGGATCTTCTGATTTCATACCCTCGGTGGAGTGTTAATAAATGCACTATTTTGTTAATAAGATGAAACCTGCAACTTGTTTCGGCGTTCCTTTGCTCCTACATAAAAAAGGTGTTGATTAGGTTGCTTTAGAATTTGCTGTGAATGACGAGTGCATATGCAGAATGGAATCAACGCCAGGATCGGATCGTTATACCGTTCAGTACTCGTGTGAATCTTGACGACCTGTTTGGAAACGTACACACTAATGTTGTATGCGAGCGTATTACTCCTTGCAAGGTAAGCAAGTTGTGTATGCTGCTTTTCCGTAGATCGAACATCTCGTAAATGCACACTCGGTAGCACACGTGGCAATGGCTGCAAAAAATCGACACCATGTGTGCTTTTTGATGCGTTTGATCCTGTCTGATGTCACTAATTCTGCAATTACGGCATGTCCCACGGCGAGGAACGGAGTGTATAACACCTAAGTTTGTAATGGGTGTTTTGGAAGGTCACAATTCAATCCACTGCGTACCATGTGACGCACATGAGCATCACATGACTGTAAACCTTGGGATGAGTGGTTATTTTGGATCGAAAATAAACGAGAATAGAATATGAGGCACCAGAGCATATTTATTAATGGAATTGAACTTGAGTAAAGCTTGCTTCTGTAGTTTGATTTGTGCTAAGTGGACAGTCGTGAACGTGTGAAAAGTTTTTGGTTTGTATGCGGTGCCTTTGAATTCTTGAGAACACGGTTTCAGTTGGCATTGTACGTCTTGATACAAGTACTCGATGAGATTCATCAAGATGTTCAAGCATTTACGCAAAGTGAACATTGCTCGTGAGTTCTAAAAGCTTTTCATTGTTAACTTATTCCTTGATGTGGAACTATGGAGCCTTTTTAGGCTGCTGGCTACTCTTTATGGAATGATCGAACATGGCGACATGTCCTACCTCGAAGTAGGAAGAGTTGTGCGTTGGATGGACAGAACCATTCGAAGGGGGCATCTATCAAGACTTCATCGAATAGTGAGCTTAATTTTCTTTCCCAGTTTTCCGTATATAATTTCTCAGAGTCAAAAAATAATGCACTGGATCTTTCTTCTTTTTTAGCATCCCAAACATTCCTGGATGGTGATGATATAATGGTCCAGGTAGATGTGATACTTCAAACACGACCAAACACAGCAAATTTCCTCTACAGCAAATCGTACCTTGGGATGTGGCTCAAAAAGGTTGCTTTTTCCTAGTCATCAGTAAAAGCTGTTGTTTTGCATCTGCGCAAACTTCATCTTGCAGCTGTCATCCGAATGGAATCAGCTATCCACCCAACAAGTATTTGAGTGCAATGCTCGTTTCATTGAGTGGATTCGAGACGGTGACGATCACGTAGACGACATCCAGAGGATGGATGACGCTGAACCGTATGTCCCCATTAGTTTTTTTTCTTTCATTCCCTATTATTTCCTTCCTTTTGTTTGGATGTTTTTTGAGTTATTGTTGTTTATCTTGCTCTATTGCAGTTTTGAGATTTTCAATGTCGGTAACCAGTCTACTGTGATACCGTTTGAGATAGAGTCATCAGAAGTCCGCAATGGATAGCAAATCGAGATGCACTTTTACAGTCTGTTTTTCTTCAAGCATGCAGCTTGAAGCTAAGGCGAGCTAAGACTCTCAAAACTGGGTTTTCAATTCTAAGCGCGTTTAATTTTGCCGTAAGAAGTATTTCCCAAGCAGATCATATTCTTCCATTGTGAGAATTAAGTAATTAGCACGTTAGCGATTTACAATTCACGTCTTCAATTAGCGATTGCCGCGCGATTGCATTCATCTATGTGTTTCAAATCTATGGTTTGCGTAATGTTGATCTTTCTCTCCTTTGGACCAGCAGGTACATTTAGACCATTAAATTTTCGCATTTATCTGGTCTCAATTTCCACACCATGTGGCCTTTATAAAGTGAGCCATATCATTTCCAGGTATCCCAAGTTGCTGCTCTACGCCCGCACTAACTGAGATACATGATGGTCAGATCACCAAGCAACACGTTGACATGTGCAAGTGGTTGATTGCTATTCATTTTTCCAGCAATTATTTGAACCCTTCAAAATTATTGACCATGCGACCTCTTGCGTGGAATAGAGCCTTTTTCTAATCAACCATATCGTACACTAAATCTGACGCTACTATTCAGCATCTCCTCGAGATGCTCTGTCACATCCGAGCTATGAATCTGGGTCGAGCAGCAGAATCATTGCGTATTTACTTTGACTACTCAATGTTCCGGTGAGCAAGCGTTTTCACTACTTCTTACAGAGTACTATCTACTCTATTTGCCTTCTTTTATGTGATTACCTTTGTGAGTGGATGCTGCCGACCTACAAGGACTCGACATGTTTAATCTTCCCTCCCCCCCCCCCCCCCCCCCCCCCCGAAAAAAAAAAAAAAAAAAAAAAAAAAAAAAAAAAAAAAAAAAAAAAAAAAAAAAAAAAAAAAAAAAAAAAAAAAAAAAAAAAAAAAAAAAAAAAAAAAAAAAAAAAAAAAAAAAAAAAAAAAAAAAAAAAAAAAAAAAAAAAAAAAAAAAAAAAAAAAAAAAAAAAAAAAAAAAAATTCCATTTTTTTTTTTTTAATTTTCAAA